GTATATAGCTAGTATATAGCAGCTAGTATACAGAATCGGCTCTATCCTGTGCTTCTTCTGCAAACATCGACATACATGACTTGTTAACGGCTAGTATATAGCTAGTGTATAGCTAGTATATAGCAGCTAGTATATAGAATTGGCTCTATCCTATGCTTCTTCTGCAAACATTGACATACATGATTTACTGTTAGCAGTTAGTACATGTGGTGTTGGAATAAAGCATGGGACAAAAAGAGGGAGAGCGAAAGGCAGAGAAAGAAGGAAAGAGAGAGCGAGAAAGAGATTGAGAGAGAGAGAGAAGGAAAGAGGAAGAGAGAGAGAGATAGAGAGAGAAAAAGATATTGCGACAGTGAGAAAGAGCGAGAGGGGAGAGAGAGATGGAAAGAGTGAGGGAGAAAGAAAAAGAGAGAGAGAGGAGGAGCTAGAAAGAGAAATAAACAGAGACAGGGAGGGAGAGAGAGAGAGAAAAGAGAAAGCGAAGATAGAAAGGAGGGGGAGGAAAAAAGGAAAGGTGGTGGAACAGCAGTGTCTGAAAGCTGATGAAGTGCTACGAAGCAAGTCGGTTTACATGCAACAGCAGAGGACGACGCGACCACGATATCAAAATAATGCACAGCAGCATCATGATCTACATTCGTATCGTGACATGACCACTGCCTCATACCAGATGCTTGTGTGTGAGCGGAGAGACACGCTTTAACAGTCCAAATAATATGTCTCCATCAACCTGTATTTGTTCCTGCAATGAAGAGCAACACAATCAGATGAATTCGTGTGAAAATCGCAAAGCGAACGTGCGTGTAAAAGTAAAATCTAATTATTTCTCATATCCCTGTTGCTAGTTCCCATTAGTTCTCCGACACTTGCTGACAAATTACTTTGTTAGAGTTTTTTCACGTTCCCTAAGAGTTTTTTTCACGTTCTCTAAAGCAGACGACACACGTAATGCTGCACTAGACTTTGCTGCCACCTGTTGGCAACATCTACCCACACCACCTGCCTCGACATTGCTAGCTACTGCGCCGAGTCTATACCCACAACTAAACCGACGTGCAATGAACACTCGACGTGAAGCTTAATGTCTACTTTCCCTCCAGGACTACCATCTATTTCTTCCAC